TATATATATATATATATATATATATATATATATATATATATAAACCCCAAATTAATCCCATCCAAATGAAGTGACTGACTAATCAGCTTAATTTTCAAAGACTGATCCAAAGACTCTAGCTTCCGTTTTGTCTGCATTCAGAGGCAAAAAGTTGAGTGTTTCAGTTTTTTGTGACAAGACATGCCTGTAGTGTATGTTGTGGGTTAGCTTGATCTGGATTCATAGACAGATATAGCTGATTATCATCTGCATAACCTGTCCTAGTCCACAGGCAAACCTGGAACATGAGGAAGATTTATCATTATCATGTACAACCTGAAATCTGTGAGAAAAATAAGATCTAAACCAGCCTAGTGCTGTTCCCTTCATTTCTACAAAATGTTCTAGTCTTTTTTTAAAAGAATAATAGTATCAACTGTTTTAAATGCAGCACTGAGATCCAACAGGACGAGCACAGATACAAGTCCATTATCTGAGGCCATGAGAATATCATTAGTGACTTTCACCAGAGCTCTTTCAGTGCTATGATGAGCTCTAAAGCCAGACTGAAACTCTTCAAAAAGTTCATTATGGTGTAAGTGATCGCACACCTGTTTGGCAAAGTACTTTCTCAAGAATTTTAGATAAAACAGGAAGATTTGATATAGGTCTATAATTGACCAAGTCATCTGGGTCAAGAGATGATTTCTTTAATTACAGCTACCTTAAAAGCCTTAAAGTACATATCCCTGTAACAGGAATGAATTAGTCACAACTAAAATGGAGTATGAATTAAGACAGAATATTTCCTGAAATAACCTGGTTGGAACTGGATCTAACATACAAGATAATAGTTTGTCTAACTCTGAAAGTTAACTCGATCAAAGCAGTGTTAACCCGGTTTAGATTCTATAGTTACCTTCCAGAGATAAACAAATCATATTTAGAAGAGTACTAGTGATCTTATTTTTAATAGAACCAATCTTATTTATAAAGAACCCCATAAAATCATTACTGCAGAATTATGGCTGTGGGTGGGATTCCTGTAAACATGTATGGTGTCATTTTCTCTCCAGTTTTCAAGCATTTTGCTTCAGTGCACAGCTCTGTATTAAACCAAGAAGCCAGCCTTCAGTTAAGTTTTTCTTTTTCAAAGTGGCTACGTTGTTCAAGGCAGTATGCAGAGAACTAGTTACCCCAACAACAAAATTATCAATTTATGAAGAATAAATTAAATTGCTGCCCTCTGCAGCATTGCTCAGTGATGCAGAGGAGATAAAAGGGAAACTGATTTTTTTTAAATCTCTCTCTGCATTATCTGAAAATGATAAATTAAAGCTTTTGGGGGAGGAGAACTCTCTTAAAGTAATCTTAAAGGTTATTAAAAGTGATCGGCGAGGACAGGTTTGTGAGAAAATATTGTTCTATATTCTGATTCAATGCCATGAGTCAGCAGAAGGTCTAAAGTGTGAAGATGAGAATGAGTGGAACTATTTACATTTTGAACAAAGCCAATCAAGTCTAAGATAACATTAATGGCTGCATTTAAGTCTGTAAGATGCACTACTGAGGGTGTGAATAGTTTTAGTGCAATACTATGGTTATACTGTTGATTATTGTGGGGCCATGGTTAATGCCACGGTCAAGACTCCTGCAGAAAGTTGGATCAGTTCTTCTGCAGCGCTTAAGTAGCATAGATCCCAAGAGACTGAATCTGATCATCTGCTGGGTTCTGGTGCACAATGTTTCATTACTGCTTAACCAAAAAAACTATTCTACTTTGATCCATCATCTAATTTGGGATAAGATCAGTGGAAAACTTTCTCTTGCACTCAGGAGGTCTTAGTTGTTTGTAACTTATAAAAACTCTGCTTCTCAGGTGTGGTGTGTCAAATACAACAGCAACGGCTCCAAGATCGTCTCAGCCGGAGATGATCGCGCCATCCACATCTACGACTGTCCTCTGTGACGAAGAATATTCAGACGACGGTTTCCAATAGATACACCAGGGGGAGCGAAAGTGTTAGATTGTTTTGCACTGAAATAAATGACTTTTTGTTACATCTGTTGCCTTTCTTTTATTGGTTTACCCTAGAATTTGGTGATTTACATTTTTTTTTTAATCTTTATACTAGAGCTATACAGGTCCTTCTCAAATTATTAGAATTTTGTGATAAAGTTCATTATTTTTCATAATGTAATGATAAAACTTAAACATTCATGTATTTTAGATCCATTGCACACTAACTGAAATATATCAGGTCGTTTTTGGGCTTAATACAGATGATTTTGACAAAGCTCATGAAAACCCAAAATTCCTATCTCATAAAATTAGCCTATTTCATCGGACCAATGAAAGAAAAGTGTTCCTAATTCAAAAAAGTCAACCTTCAATAATTAGGTACAGTTATGCACTCAATACTTGGTCAGGAATCCTTTTGCAGAAATGACTGCTTCAATGCGGCGTGGCATGAAGGCAATCAGCCTGTGGCACTGCTGAGGTGTTATGGAGGCCCAGGATGCTTCCATAGCGTTTAGCCTTTAGCTCATCCACAGTGTTGGGTTTTGCTTCTCTCAACTTTCTCTTCACCATATCCCACAGATTCTCTATGGGGTTCAGGCCAATTGAGCACAGTGATACCATGGTCAGTGAACCATTTACAAGTGGTTTTGGCTCTGTGAGCAGCTGCCAGGTGGTGCTGAAAAATGAAATCATCTCCATAAAGCTTTTCAGCAGATGGAAGCATGAATTGCTCCTGATAGCTGCATTGACCCTTCCCTTGATAAAACCCAGTGGACCAACACCAGCAGCTGACATGGCGCCCCAGACCATCACTGACTGTGGGGACTTGACACTGGACTTCTGGCATTTCCTCTAGTCTTTCTCCAGACTCTGGCACCTTGATTTCCAAATGACCTGCAGAACTGAGCAACAGTCCAGTGCTGCTTCTCTGTAGCCCAGGTCAGACGCGTCTGCCGCTGTTTCTGGTTCAAAATTGGTTTGACCTGGGGAATGAGGCACCTGTAGCCCATTTCCTGTTCACGGTGGCTCTGGATGTTTCTACTCCAGACTCAGTCCAGTGCTGCTTCCCTGTAGCCCAGGTCAGGCGCCTCTGCTGCTGTTTCTGGTTCTAAAGTGGCCTGACCTGGGGAATGCGGCACCTGTAGCCCATTTCCTGCACACGCCTGTGCACTGTGACTCTGGATGTTTCTACTCCAGACTCAGTCCACTGCTTCCACAGGTCCCCCAAGGTCTGGAATCGGCCCTTCTCCACAATCTTCCTCAGGGTCCGCTCACCTCTTCTCGTTGTGCAGCGTTTTCTGCCACACTTTTTCCTTCCCACAGACTTCCCACTGAGGTGCCTTGATGCAGCACTCTGGGAACAGCCCATTCATTCAGAAATATATTTCTGTGTCATTCCCTCTTGCTTGAGGATTTCAATGATGGCCTTCTGGACAGCAGTCTGACCCATGATTGGGGTTTTGAGTGATGAACCAGTTTTAAAGGCCTCAGGAATCTTTTGTAGGTGTTTAGAGTTAATTTGTTGCCACCATAACACCTCAGCAGAGCCACAGTCTGATTGCCTCCATGCCACACCGCATTGGCATTGAAACAGTCTTTTCTGCAAAAGGATTCCCGAACAAGTATTGAGTGCATAACTGTGCATAATTATTGAAGGTTGAGTTTTTTGTATTAAGAACACTTTTCTTTTATTGGTCCGATGAAATAGGCTAATTTTATGAGATAGGAATTTTGGGTTTTCATGAGCTGTATGCCAAATCATCAGTATTAAGACAATAAAAGACTTGAAATATTTCAGTCCACAACTTATAAATTCATTAAAACTGCTGCTTCACAAGCATCTTTTTTCTAAATGAAACTAAATAAAAATGCATGCTAAGCTTTCCATTAAGATACTGGATACAGCACCTTCTACTGGAAGCTGTTAAATAACGCTTTTAAACATTGCTCCTTGGCATCTTTCCAGGAAAATGGAATAGAATGGGTGCAGAAAGTATTCAGACCCCTTTAAAAGTTTCAATCTTTGTTTCATTGCAGCCATTTGCTAAAATCAAAAAAGTTTATTTTATTTATCATTAATGTACACTCAGCACCCAATCTTGACAGAAAAAAACAGAAATGTAGAAATTTTTGCAAATTTATTAAAAGAAAAACTGAAATATCAAACGGTCATAAGTATTCAGACCCTTTGCTGTGGCACATTAAACTCACATGCCGTCCATTTGTTCTGATCCTCCTTGAGATGGTTCTGCCCCATCATTTGAGTCCAGCCGTGTTTAAATAAACTGATCGGACTTGATTAGAAAAGGAACACACCTGTCTATTTCATACCTTCCAGCTCACAGTACATGTCAGAGCAAACGAGAATCATGAGGTTGAAGGAACTGCCCAAGGAGCTCAGAGGCAGAATTGTGTCAGTGCACAGATCTGGCCAAGGTTACAAAATAATTTCTGCAGCCCTCAAGGTTCCTAAGAGCACAGTGGCCTCCATAATCCTCAAAAGGAAGAAATTTGGGACGACCAGAACTCTTCCTAGACCTGGTCATCTGGCCAAACTGAGCAATCATGGGAGAAGAGCCTTGATGAGAGAGGTAAAGAAGAACCCAAAGATCTCTGTGACTGAGCTCCAGAGATGCAATAGGGAGATGGGAGAATGTTTCACAGTCAACTATCACTGCAGCCCTCCACCAGTCAGGGCTTTATAGCAGAGGGGCGTAAATTCTAAGGGGTATGTGAGGAGAAAACCGGGCACTGCTCATCACCTGCTAAATAAAATCCCAACAGTGAAACATGGTGGCGGCAGCATCATGCTATTAGGGTGTTTTTCACCTGCAGCGACAGGACGAGTGGTTGC